CGTTTGTAGTAAAAAAATAATAATCAGGAAAAAACTAGTTGCTTTTACTTTTAGTCCCAATCCCTTCCCTTTCATGCAATTGATATTTATTTCAAAGACGTTCAACCGGTTATACAGAGCGTCCAATTAACGATGTTAAATTCAGGGCGGCGTTTCATGAGATGTTTCAGGGTCAATGAGGTATAGCCATTCCAGTCATAAGCCTTGATACCACTAACCACTTTACGACGCTAACAAATGCATAATGTACTGGTGAAGTGAGCAAGTGAATTGGTAATTCCCACCCGTACTTGAAAATGTGACGTTAAAAGACGAAGTAAAGTCTGAACTCGCTTCAACCAATGATCGATGAATACGCTAAGCTGTGGGGAAGTCGTCATAGATGGTCTCTATGTATTCCTATATTGCCATTCTCAGAGTATCAAAACATTGTACATGCTCGCACAAATTGACAATGAACAGCGGTTTTTAACATATTTCTCCACAACGGATGTGCCATCAAGCTCAGCCACTTCTATGAAGCTTTTAATAGTTCTAATTATTTGTTGTTCAATCTTTAGTACCCTACGACAAACAACTCTTCTCTCCTTGAAAATTCGTAACGGCGATTGAATGTATTACCTACCATATGATCCCAAAGCCAATCAATGACTTGGCATTTCCGTAATATGCCGAGGTATAAGCACTACATGTCTCCAGTAACTCGGTCCGGCTAAGGGGTACTGCCATATGTTCCGAAGTACTCTAGTGAATTGAAATGTAGTAAATTGAATGATATCGTATCTGGTTGTAACAATCCTCGATAATCCTGTGCTGATTACACCAGCATTTACAACATAAGCCATCAAGTTGGTGATGATCATGGGTGGTTCCTAGCAGGCCATTCGAGAAAAAGACTCTTCAGTGTTCGTACATTGACTGGAATTTTTGTTGTTCCTTGCCACTTCTTTAGGCTCACTGAACGGCAGCATGAGTCTAACGCTTCAGATGGTATCGTTTCTTTTGGCTGCGAAATCGATGGAGCTACTTCATTAGCAAGTGCTTCATTAGATGAAGTCATGATCACTACCGCTGTTAAAAGTCTGTAAAATGCCAATATATGCCTTTCATACTGAACAATAAGGATGCCATGTTTGCATAATTTTTCCCAAGGGGATATTCGCTGTATTCAAAAGCCTGAAAATTCTTTGATTTTGGATCTTTGTCTTTTGAGCTTTAGCTTTTTTCAGCAGTTACTATGAAAACCAAACGCGCATACATAATCGCCTTAAAGCGATATCTATCGCAAAAAAACAAGCCGTACAACATTTGTCGCCCTCCCCACCCCCGTCCTCCTTGCCGGCCAAAACGCTGGCGGCCAAAACCAATGGCAGTGGACATCCCACCACTCGATGATCAGATGGACATCGACGAGCCTTTTGAGCTTGAAGTGGTGGGATGTTCACTAGCCCCAAGTGACGACAGCTGCCTCCCGGAGGGCATGGAGATTTGTCCGCCTTCCCCTGCTCTTTCTTCCCGTGTTCTGCGGTTCGAGGAAGCCCCTGTGGACCGCTGTGTCCTTCCAGAGGGAATGGACGTCTGTCCGACTTCGCCGGCTCGTTCTTCTGGTTTTCTGCCTTTGGCGGGATCTGATACCCCTTCCGTTCATTTTGTTGGCCCTTCTGCCACATTGGCAGCCCCTCCCGCTCCTTCTGCCTTTATGGCTACCCATTCCGCTCCTTCCGCCACCACTTTGGCAACCCCTTCCGCTCCTTATGTTTCGGTAGCCAGAGCAGCTGCCATGTATACTGCTGAGCAGTACCGATGTCCCGCGAGTCCCCCATCGCGGGACGACACTCCTCCCAAGGCTTCGCGCGATGGGACCCCACTGGGTAATGAGAATCAGCTCAGCCCAGTGAACGGTCCTGTCGCGCCTCCGGAAGATGTTGAAGACGTAAGTAGCTGTTTAAAGTGTAAGCAAAGTGATGGGTAAATATATTTTTGTTAACGTGCTCTTCTATCATTAGATCGACCGGATGGTCCAGAGTTCTGGCTGGTTCCAGGACCTGGACGAAGTCTGCTCTCAGTTGACAGACGCATTCGCTGAGAGGGAGGAGGAGAACCTCCAACCGTCGCTAGAAGTGATTACCGAAGA